TGCACAGTATGTGATAAAAATATAAAATGAGGGACCGGAGAGGTACACACTGGCAGCTGGAGAGTGGCTGCCTCTGGAAAAGGAGGAAGGCAGATGAAATAGAAAGGCATACAAAGGAGATTTTGGTTGTGTCCTTTACAAACACAATGGGAGAAGAGCTGAGGCAGATGAGGTGAGAGGTTAATGTGTGTCACACACAGGTACTGGGTTCGTGTGGTCGGCTATCTTACATCTATACTCTATTGAGTGCTTCATAATTTAAGATGCATGATTCTTACTGTGGTGGGAGTGGAAGATGGCAGTTTGGCAACATCCACATTAAGACGGTACTTACACTTCACCCAAAACTTGTACCTTTAGTACTGGACCATACAGATGTGGTCACACATGTTTACGGACACATGTGCAAAGACATTCTGCACAGCGCTGTGCATAATAGCAAGTGGTTGGCAATGACCTAATTCTATCTGTAAATTATTGTTAAAGAAACTCTGATTCGGCCAGGCACAGTGGCACACCTGTAATCCCAGCACTTTGGGAGGCCAAGGCGGGCCGATCACAAGGTCAGGAGATCGACACTATCCTGGCTAACATGGTGAAACCTCGTCTCTACTAAAAAGAAAACACAAAAAATTAGCCAGGCGCGGTGGCACATACCTGCAGTCCCAGCTACTCGGGAGACTGAGGCAGGAAAATAGCTTGAACCCAGGAGGTTGGACCCTTGCAGAGAGCCGAGATCGTGGCCACCGCAATCCAGCCCTTGGGTGAAGAGCCGAGACTCCGTCTCCAAAAAAAAAAAAAGAAAGAAAAAAACAAAAAAACTAACAAACAAAAACTTCTGAATCATCCCTACGGGAATACCATGCCCACTAAAGAAAAAAAAAAAGGAGAGAAGGGGTGGCACACTGGCCTCATGCCTGTAATCCCAGTGCGGTTTGGGAGACTGAGGGGCGGCGACTGCTGAGCTCAGGATTTCAATAGGACCAGCCGTGGACCAACATGTCAAAACCCGGTCTCTAACAAAAAAATAAATATAAAATTGGGCTCTGGGCGTTGGTGGGACACGCACCTGTAGTCCCCCAGCCTACTTGTGGCAGGCTCGAGGCAGAGAGGAATCACTTGAGCCTCAAGGCTGCCAGTGAGCTGAGGACCTGCCACACCACTCCACTGCCCAGCCTGAGTGACAATAGCCAAGACCCCCCGTCTATCTATGTATTTCTAATCTATCTATCTAATCTATCTATCTTTATCTATCTATCTACTTACTTACTTACTTAGGAAATTAGTTTCACTTCTGTCGCCCAGACGTGGAGTGCAGTGGCAGACCATCTTGGCTTCATCCGCAAGTCTCCGCCCCCAGGTCCAGTGATTTCTCCTGTCTCACAGCCTCCCAACCAGGCTAGGATTACAGCGCCTGCCCACCTCTGTATTTTTTGTATTTTTGTATTTTTAGTAGAGGCGGGTTTCACCATGTGGCCAGGCTGCTCCAAAACCTCCTGACCTCAAAGTGATACTGTCCTTGCCTGCCTCCCAAAAGTGCTTGGGATTACGCAGGAGTGAGGCCAACTGCACCTGGCCCATCTCTTATTACCACCAATATAGGAACAATCTTCCATGATTAAGTTTTAAAAAAAAATAATGCAAGATGGGAGCAGCTGCACACGGGCAGGACTATTGGGTGTGTGGGTGTCATTTTCCCAGTGTATATTCCCAGGTTCGCCCTTGGGTAGGGTGCAAGGGAGATGCAGGCAAGAGGTGGGGGGAGAGGCCTGCGGTACACCTGCCTCCGGTCTGCATGCGTACCATGTTTGCCATGTTCTGTTTCACGAACATTCTTTGTTTAAAAAGAAGGATACCCATGTGAAATTTCATTATTAAGAAATTCCACCAATTAAGTGGAGTAAAAAAACCAAACTATCCAATTAGAAATGGGCTATAACAGACAACTCATAAGAGAATACAGATGGCCAGCGGGCGCAGTGGGTCACGCCTGTAATCCCAGCACTTTGGGAGGCCCAGAGCGGGGCAATCACGAGGTCAGGAGATTGAGAGACAATCCTAAACTAACATGGTGGAAACACTGTCTTCTACTAAAAAACAAAAAAATTAGCTGGGCCGTGGTGGCAGCGGCCTGTAGTCTCAGCTACTCAGGAGGCTGAGGCAGGAGAATTGCTTGAACCTGGAAGGCGGAGGTGCAGTGAGCCGAGATCGCGCCACTGCACTCCAGTCTGGGCGACAGAGTGAACGCCATCTTCGAAAGAAAAAAAAAAAAGAAACAAATACAAATGCCAAAATTTTTTTTTTTTTTGTGAGACGAGTCTTGCTCCTGTCTCCCAGGCCTGGAGTGCAGGTGCGATCTCGGCTCCACTGCAAACTCCGCCTCCGGGTTATAGCGGCATTCCCCTGCCTCAGTCTCCAGGTCAGCTGGGACTACAGGCACCCGCCGCCACACCTGGCTAATCTTTTGTATTTTTTAAGTAGAGACAGGGTTTCACCATGGTCTCGATCTCCTCAGCTCGTGATCCGCCCGCATCGGCCTCCCAAAGTGCTAGGATTACTGGTGTGAGCCACTGCGCCTGGCCAAGAAATGTATTTAAAAATGTTCAACTGGCCGGGCACGGTGGCTCATGCCTGTAATCTTAGCACTTTGGAAGGCTGAGGGGGGCAGATCACCTGAGCTCAGGAGTTCAAGACCAGTCTGGGCAACACAGTGAAACCCCATCTCTACTAAAATACAAAAAATTAGCCGGGTGTGGCGGCGTGTGCCTGTAGTCCCAGTTACTCGGGAGGCTGAGGCAGGAGAATTGCTTGAACCTGGGAGGCAGAGGTTGCAGTGAGCCGAGATCACACCACCGCACTCCAGCCTTCCAGTCTGGGCGAGAAAGCACAAGACTTCCGTCTCCAAAAAAAAATTTCAACTACGCTAACAAGGACAAACCAAAATGAAATGCCACAATTCACCTGCCAGATTGACAAAAGGCTGACTGACATCAGGGCTGGTGAGGACATGAGAAAATGGGCACCTTTGTATACGACTGGTGGGCAGGACGAGAGACAACCTTAGTAGTGGGAATTCATTAGGACCGCCTGAACTTCCCCCCATTGGGTTTAACAGCCTTATAAAGATATAATCCACATACCAACAAGTCACCCACTTACAATGTAAAATTCAATGGCTTCTAGTACATTCACAGTTGTTCAACCATCACCACAAACAATTTTAACACATTTTTATCACTCCAATCTTCCCATCCCCCAAGACCCAGGAAACCACTCATCTATTTTCTGTCTATGTATTTGCTTATTCTGGACATTTCATATGAATGAAATCAGATAGTGTGTGGCCTGTTGTGTCCAGCTTCTTTCACTGAGCCTAATATTTCCCTTTTCTTTTTGAGACAGGATCCACTCTGTGACCCAGGCTGGAGTGCAGTGGCGCAATCATAGGTCAGTGCAACCTCCAACTCCAGGGCTGAAGTGATCCTCCGGCCTCAGCCTCCCAAAGTGTTGGGATTACTGGCGTGAGCCACCGCACGCAGCCCAGCCTAATGCTTGAGGATTCACCCATGCCGCAGCATGCATCAGAACTTCACTGCCTTGTAGGGCCAAATAATATCCTGCTATTTAGATAGATATTTTGTTCATCAATTCCTCAGTAGATGGACTTATGGGTTGTTTCTACTTTTTGGCAATTATGAATAATATTGCTATGAATATTTATGTACAAGGTTCTGCGTGGACAAGCTTGCACCTGTAATCCCAGCACTTCGGGAGGCTGAGGTGATCGCTTGAGCTCAGGAATTCAAGACTAGCCTGCACAACACACTGAGACCCCCAACTCTACCAAAAAAAAAAAATTAAATATTTAGCCAGGGCGTGGTGGCATGCACCTGTGGTCCCAGCTACTTGGGGGCTGAGGCAGGAGGATCGCTTGAGCCCAGGAGGTTGAAGCTGCAGTAAGCCATCATCTCACCACTGAACTCCAGCCTGGGACACAGGGCAAGATCCTGTCTGAAAAAAAGAATAAAATAAAATAGAAATACAATATATAGCAACAACTGTAAGTGTATTAAAGCTTTGTGTAAAAGGATATTCCTGGAGCACTGTTTATAATTGCAAAATGTTGAAAACTAAGTTTCTACTAATAAGAAACTCATTGAATTAACTGGGGCAGATTGTACACGGAATACTGTACAAAGATAAGATGTCTCTAAGTTACACAATAAAAGTAGAATCCCACTTTGTTCAAAACACAAAGCAATGTGCACACACTTGCCTACAGACACACCTTTCCACAGCAGAGGAAAAGTCCCAGGGCAGCTCTTTCCCAAACCAAGTGGGTATCTTAGGGAGGTTGAAAAAGAGAGGAAGATCTCTGCCTTTTTTTTTTTGTTTTGAAACAGAGTCTCTCTCGCTCTGTCGCCCAGGCTGGAGTGCAGTGGCGCGATATCAGCTCACGGCAACCTCTGCCTCCTGGGTTCACACCATTCTCCTGCCTCAGCCTCCCGAGTAGCTGGGAATATAGGCGCCACCACCACACCCAGCTGATTTTTGGTATTTTTAGTAGAGACGGGGTTTCACCATGTTAGCCAGGATGGTCTTGATCTCCTGACCTCGTGATCCACCTGCCTCAGCCTCCCAAAGTGCTGGGATTACAGGCGTGAGCCACTACACCTGGCCTCTACCTTCTTATTCTATACAATTTTTCTAAGTGACAGGATTATCAGTGTTATTTACTTTTAAAACATTTTTCCATATTTTTCAAATAGTATTTTCAAAATTATTACAGGAATAGGTGTCTGTTTCTACTCACCATTGTATCCTTAACGCCAAAGCACCACTCAACACCGGGCATCAACAGATAAAGAAAATGTGTTGAATAAATGAACGAAAAGCAGTTATTTCTGTGCAAAGGAAAATTCTGTAATAGCTTATACTTCAGTAATATGGTTCCTAATTTGCTGTGACTACATTACATGCTAATAAACAGGGTCACTTACGTGATTCAGAAAATACTGCACGATTATCTCATGGCCAGCCGCAGCTGCTTCCATCAAAGGAGTAAATCCATATATCGGCTCCCTGCAAGATGTGGGCCACAGTCAGATGATTGGCAGAGACAAGTTCTGTCAGGCAAAAACTCCCTGCTGAAGATAAACCCAGGGCAGTGCACGAATCACCGAACCCTCAGTGTAGAACACTCTCTCCCTTTCAAGAATTAACAGGTGAGATGAGAATAACCCATCAGCTCCATTTACTCTTCTGGTGTCTGTCCCCAGGGCTGGTCTTTGTCCTAAAGACAGATGTCTGCCTATCATTCCTCCTCTTGCCTATTCTCTGCTACCTCTGAAATCTCCACCTCAATCATATTCAAAAAGCAGTTCTGACTCCTTACTCCTCACAGAAAGCCAACGTCTCCCATCCATTCATCCAAATCCTAGCTTCAAGTTCAACATCCTCCACAAACCCACCCTGAAAAGCTCAGGTACTAATGATCTAAGCTGTCCTTGCTACGCTTAGCTCCTGAAGCTTGCTTTTCATACTTGGTATGCTAACTCGGCACTGTCTTCAGAGGGCTTCCGAATCCCTCCTTGTCTCATGCTGGTCTAGAAGTCAGGAACCATGCATGGGAAATGCTGGTTTTCATTCATTCTAAGACACACAGTGTTCATATTTTAACATCTCTGAAGTCAGAAAACATCTTTAAACCAACAGGTGAGTTGAATGTTAATTAGTAGCATATTTTTTCTTTCTCAGTGGCATACAAAATTATGGGGTGTCTTAGGATGGATGACAGCCAGGGTGGGTCTGCATTGGTACCCACTGCGTTTGTTCAAAGGTGATTATTATCACAACAAGCTTTAGACAACAATCCCACTTCCAACTTATAAAACTCATGACTGGTTTTTTGTTTGTTTGTTTTTGAGGAGTTTTGCTCTTGCTGCCCAGGCTGGAGTGCAAAGGCATGATCTCAGCTCACTGCAACCTCTGCCTTCCGGTTTCAAGTGATTCTCCTGCCTCGGCCTCCTGAGTAGCTGGGACTGCAGGCGCCCGCCACCAAGCCCAGCTAATTTTTGTTTTTTCAGTAGAGACGGGGTTTCACCATGTTGGCCAGGCTGGTCTTGACCTCCTGACTTCACGATTTGTCCTCCTTGGCCTCCCAAAGTGCTAGGATTACAGGTGTGAGCCACCACTCCCGGCCAAAACTCATAACTATTTTTAAAGCATCACCTCATCTCATCCATACAAAAGGCAAGAAAATGGAAGGAATTTGCATGTAATGTATGACATTTAAATGCCATTCAGTATGTTAGGCCCCTGGCATACAATAAAACATGTAATTCTTACAACTCTATGACCCAGGTGGGTTTCAGATATAGAAAAGGAAGCTGAGAGGGCTTGAAGAGATGCACTCACAGATGTGGGAAAAGGCCCACGCCTGGAAGGACTCTCGGCCTACCCCTCATCTTGAGCCTTTCCTGCCGAAGCAGGGTGGCCCTAAACTCTGGTTAGCTGCCTCCAGAGCCAACCTCCTTAGAGTCAGATGACACCTAGGCCACTCCTGTGGCCACTAAAGACGTGGCAATCACCTCACGTTGGCATTGGCTCCACTGTCCAAGAGGAACCTGACCATGTGCTGGTGCCCGGCGCTGGTACAGTGGAAAAGGGCCGTCCAGCCCTGGATGTCTTTCATTTCTAGCTCTGCACCTTGCTTCAAGAGAACACAGAACGTGCGTTACGGCCTCATCTCCTCTGCGTGGGGCAGGCGCCCTCCAGGCGGCCATGCTGCAAGAATCAGAAATGATTACACGAGCACACACGAACACCATGGCCTGCAGTGGTTTGCGTCTCTGTCAGGGCGGTCAGGGAGCCCCTCAGGTTTCTGGGCCTGAGTTCCCTCGTAGCTCACCTGGAGGAGAAAGTAGGCGATGCTCTCGTTGCCACAGCTGGAGGCCAGCATCAGTGGAGTCTGCCCTTCTGGGGTCGGCACATTCACACTCACCCCCGCCTCAAGCAGCAGGTGCACGATGGTGTCGTGGCCAATGTAGGAGGCATACATCAGCGGGGTCCAGCCACCACCGTTCTTCTTATTCAAATCTAACTCTCTCCTAAACAAACGCAAGATACGCTAGACATGGCCAGCCGCCTCACATGTGGGGTTCGCCAGAGCCGGTGGCGAGCCTAGGCCAGGCGGGATGAGTTGACAGGAAGTAGAAGTTATCTGCCACCCTGGACGTTGTAGGGATTGGGGGCAGGCAGGCAGAGAAATGCTGACAGTTGCTCGTACACTGCCTCGTGAGGCCCTGAGCCTTTGTCTCCTTGCGCTGATTTCGCATCCTCCTAGCCCGAGGCCAGCTATGTTCTTTCACACCACCAGACAGACAGATGGCGCTCAACCAAGGAGTATCTGGCAACGTCTGGAGGCATTTTTGGTTCTCACAGCTGGGCAGGGAAGGGCTGCTGGCATTTAGCAGGTGGAAGCCAAGGCTGCTGCTAAACATCCCACAGTGCCCAGGACAGCCCCACAGCAAAGAATGATCCAGCATGGACTGTCAACACAGCCACAGTTGAAAAACCCTGACCACCGCAGGAGTGGCATCTACTAGCCCAGTGCTAGGTGGAGAGGAGCAGTGAGGAAAGAAAGGACTCCACCGTGGACGAGTCCCACCGCCACTGATTCATCCTTTGTCACCTCACCCTAAATAAACATTCTTGAAAAATCTGTGACCAAAGAATCCCATCTTTCTCACTGACTTCCGTTAAAATTCTGGAAATGCATTTTCCCATAGGAAAAAACTGTGGGCTTCCTAGTCATGACTTTGGGGTTGGGACAAGGGAGTCACGTTTAAAACAATACCCACTTGCATGGCTACCTGGGATCCTACAGGGTTAATCCCCACAGGTCTTTTTTCCCTTCCCCAATTCTTGCCTGCAGTGGGGGTAACAACTGGAGACTGAACCCCGGGATCCGTCCCTTTTGTGGGATTCACACTTTTTTTTTTTTTTGAGACAGTCTTGCTCTGTTGCCCAGGCTGGAGTGCAGCAGTGCGATCTCGACTCACTGCAACCCCCACCTCCCAGGTTCACGCCATTCTCCTGCCTCAGCCTCCCAAGTAGCTAGGACTACAGGTGCCCGCCAACACGTGGGCCTGGCTAATTTTTTTGTATTTTTTTAGTAGAGACGGGATTTCACTGTGTCAGCCAGGATGTCTCGATTTTCTGACCTCATGATCCGCCCGCCTCGGCCTCCCAAAGTGCTGGGATTACAGGCATGAGCCACCGCGCCCGGCCGGGATTCACCTATTAGACCACACCAGGCAACTACCTTCCATTGCCTGGCAGCCCTCAGTGACTCTGGGATGCACACCCAGGCAGCCATTCCAGAAGGTCCTGATACCAGGCCAGGGGGCTGCATGGAGAAGCTTCTGCAACAGGGCTCGAATGCACCCAGCTCGTCCTAACACTATCTTCCTTTACACAACAGCAGAGCGCCTTTCTGGGGCTCTCTCACCACTCCTCGTTCAGCCCCACCCCTCCCTTCTGATGCCCCCGTCTCCCCTCAGGCCCCATCCCGTGCTTACTGTCAGCAAGCCTCCACCTCAGCTAGTGAAATCCCACCACAACACAAACACCTCCCGCTGCTCCTCTGCGGAGCCATTCTGGACTCTGCATCTTAACAGGACACCCAAAGACTTAGGAGCCTGAGAATTCCAAACGTGACCCTGTGAGGGGTCGCACTGACTGCATACCCAACTGCCTATGCCTAGAGCCTCCTGCAGGGGGAGCACAACAGACTACCCTGTACCAAGCTGCACCAGCGCTCCATGGGCTGGGTATGTCTAAGTGAGGGCCACAAGCTGGGAACCGGAGACCTGGGGCTTCAGCAAGGCTTTGCTTTAGCTCACTGGGAACTGGAAGAGGCACGCGGAGATAAGGAGAGAGGTCACTGCACCACAATATCAAATGAGAACTAGGAGACACAGTTAGGCAGTGTGTGGAACATAACAGGGTAGAAGTGAGGAGACTACCCTTTTCCAAAAACAAGATGATCATATCCTGCTATGGGCAAGACTCAGCCATGGGCCCGGCCAGGGGCTTTGTATTGTCTCTAACTATTGTATACAGATTAGCAAAGGGCAGGTGGGCAGTGAGGTCCAGAGGCCATTCCCCAGAGGCACGAAAAACCCAGCCTCTCTCAGTAGCAGAAGCTAGAGGGGAACAGGGATCACAGGGATCGAATGAACCCTCCAGGAAAAGAAGGCCAGGGATCACTTTCCTTTTGCTTTTTTTCTTTCTTTTTTTTTTTTTTTTTGAGAAGGAATCTCACTCTGTCGCCAGGCTGGAGTGCAGTGGTGCAATCTCAACTCACTGTAACCGCCTCCTAGGTTCAAGCGATTCTCCTGCCTCCGCCTCCTGAGTAGCTGCGATTACAGGTACATGCCACCACGCCCAGCTAACTTTTATATTTTTAGTAGAGATGGGGTTTCATCATGTTATCCAGACTGGTCTCAAACTCCTGACCTCAAGTGACCCGTCCACCCCAGCCTCCCAAAGTGCTGGGATTACAAGCATGAGCCACTGTGCCCGGCCTTCTCTTTCTGTCTTTATTTTTATTTTCCTTGTTTGGGCATTTCTGCAATTAGTGAATAAAATTAGTCTGGTTAAAGAATGACTGTTTATAAGCTTCTGATCAAAGTTTACACCCTCTTTTTCTTCCCAGGAATAAAAACTGCCTCTTTGTCAGTGCCCAGCATCAATAATTACTGACAGCTCCCTGAGATAAGCAGGTTAACCTATTCTACACGCATTACACATCCACATCTGTGTGCAAAGCCCCATCATGTGGGATCCAAGCCATTACTGCGCTACTCAAAATGTGACAGGGAAGCTCCCGCGATCTCTTACCGCTGCACACATTCCTTCACCACTTCATACTGGCCAATGGAAGCAGCTGTGTGAAGATCCAGGGGGACGTCTAGCTCCTCCCGGCTGACCTGTGCCCCCAGGCCATGCCACATGGACAAGCTGCGGTTCAGGAGTTCCGGCTCGCTGGCTTCATCACTAAGCTCGGACATCACTGAGGAGGAAGGGCCAAGGGTTAGATCTTTCCTGGCTGGTTGTTCCAGGGCATGAAACAGGCTGCTCCTGCCCCTGCTACACCACTACACTAGCAGACTGATAACCCAATGCAGTCAACCCTGGCAGTCACTTAGACAAATTTCTTTGCTTAAATAATGTATGGTTTGGGCAGTCCCATCAATGCTAAATCTGGTGAGCTTGCAACCACACCAGTAAAGAGAAGCACATATGGTGAGGCATTAACTGTGGAGTACGTCGTCCTCCTTCCATCCTCAGGCACCAGGTAAAAGAGAATTTTCCATCAACTCTAGGAACCTGACAACCTCTTGGATGGGCAGTAAAGAAATGCTAATTGGGTTATTTAACCAAATCAGCTCCTTGATGTGGTGGGGAAGAACCCTGGATTTGGGGTTAGATCAAAATTCAGCTCGGACCAGGTGTGGTGGCTCACACCTGTAATCCCAGCACTTTAGGAGGCTGAGGTGGGCGGATCACTTGAGGTCAAGAGTTCAAGACAAGCCTGGCCAACATGGTGAAATCCCGTCTCCACTAAAAATACAAAAATTAGCTGGGCGTGAAGGCCAGGTACTCGGGAGGCTGAGGTAGGAGAATCAGTTGAACTGGGGAGGCGGAGGTTGCGGTGAGCGGAAATCACGCCATTGCACTCCAGCCCGGGCGACAGAGCAAGACTTTGTCTCAAAAAAAAAAAAAGAAAAGAAAAAAAAAAGGCACCTCTGCTACTTAGCACCTCCAATCCCTAGTGCCTCACCGTCTAACAGGGACATATCTGAAAAGGCTGCCATTATGATACACGAAACAATGGATAAACAAACGGTGGCACATCCGTATAATGCATGCTACTCAGCATTAAACACAAGGATCCAACAGTTGACATGCAACACATGAACGAATTTCAAATGCTTCACGCTAAATGGAAGAAGCCTGCCTACTGTATCATTTCACTTACACGACATTCTGGAGAAGGCAAAATTAAAGGATTGGAGGTTAGGGGCGAGAGGGAATTTGGGGGACAATAGACCTGTTCTGTATGACTGTGATGGTGAATCTGTGACTCTATGCCTTTATGAAACCACAGACCTGAACGCCAAAATGATTTTTACTATATGTAAATTGTATTTATTTTTTTTTAGACAGTCTTGCTCTGTTGCCCAGGCTGGAGTGCAGTGGCGTGATTTCAGCTCACTGCAACCTCTGCCTCCTGGGTTTAAGGGCTTCTTGAGCCTCAGCCACCTGAACAGCTGAGGTTACAGGTGTACGCCATCATGCTAGGCTAATTTTTGTATTTTTAGTAGAGACGGGATTTTCACCATGTTGGCCAGGTTGGTCTTGAACTCCTGACCTCAGATGATCCACCCGCCTCAGCCTCTCAAAGTGCTAGAATTACAGGCATGAGCCACCGCACCTGGCCTACAAATTTTAAACATAAATTAATTTTTCTGGAATGGTTATGAAATTGAAAATTTCAAAAAAGTAAAGAAAAATAAATTTTTCTGAGAAAAATAGAAAGCAATTCCCCAACACAGAAACCAGGATGTGATTGGTGGCACTCAGCAACGGCCAACTGAACAGGAATCCACTTTGGCATCCTTTGAAGAGAGAGATATGGGGGGGAAATATAATAGGCCAGTGAACTGGTGGGGTGACACTTTCCCCAAGATGGGCCTACATGGGTAATGGCACACCAGGAATCCCCAAATCAACGCCAAGTCATTAGCTTCCTGGTAGAATCCTTAGGTACAAGAGTGCCAGGAAACAAGGGTAGGAAAGGGAGCAAAGGCGAAAACAAAGGCCTTGTCATGTTGCCATCACCGACAGGTGCTATGGCAGTTAATAGATGCAATGAGGACCTCAGTTTCTACTAAAGAATGCTTCCAAGCCCCAGGTGATAGCCAAGATGGCTGAAGAAACAAGCCACCAATGTTGGGGACAAACACTTCACAGGCCCTTGGCGAGAGTGTTTGTAGGTGTGGTGGGGCAGGCAAAGCCCTCCCTTCTGGAACCACCACCTCTTCAGCTGGCAGAGCCCACGATCATGCAGTCCCTTCCCTCACTCTGCAGGTGAGAATCCCACCCTGAACCGTCCTGGCCAACGGCGCCTGGATAAGAAACCAAAGGCTCTGAGCTGAGTGTCACTTCAGAGTCCCTTCCATACCTCCCTCAAGCCTTCACTGGGCATGTCTCTTCCACTCCAAAGGCCTCCTGCAGGGTGAGGTCGTGTTCTCTATTTATTGGAGACTTGCATGTCTGACACCCAAGGACTGAAGGACAATCAGACCAAGCCTGATAGACCACTGGAGGCCAAGAGTTCGAGACTAGCCTGGCCAAAATGGTGAAATCCCATCTTTACTAAAATTACAAAAATTAGCTGGGCGTGGTGGTGAGCGCCTGCAGTCTTCAGTATTCGGGAGGCTGAGGCAGGAGAATCACTTGAGTCTGGGAGGCGGCTGCAGTGAGCCGATATCAAGCCACTGCACTCCAGCCTGGGCAACAGAGTGTTTCAAAAAATAAAAAAAAAAAACTAAAGTGAAAACTAAAAGTCCCATCCCATCCCGAGTGATGTGGTGTAAAGTAGCACTGGTGTCGCTACTTTACAGGTGTGGTGTAAAGTAGCACTCGACATATGATGTTTCATTCAACTTTTTGGTTCTGTCCACTCTGAAAATGTGAAGTATCTGTTACCTTTACAATAAATCCTAAAGTAAATGTGGTACTTAGACACAATGGAGTACTATTCAGCCATAAAAAAAGAAAGAGATCCTGTCATTTGCAAAAATATGGATGGAACTGGAGGTCATTAAGTTAAGTGAACTAAGCCAGGCACAGAAAGACAAATATTGCATGTTCTCACTTATTTGTGGTTATCTAAAAATCAAAACAATTGAACTCATGGAGATAGAAAGCAGAAGAATGGTTACTTCTATTGTAACCAAGGCTGGGAAGGGTAGTGGAAGGTGGGGATGGTTAATGAATACAAATAAAAAATAGAGCGAATAAGATGTACTATTTGACAGCACAACAGGGTGACTATAATCAATATAATCTAATTGCACAATTTATTTTTTTTTTTATTTTTTTGAGACGGAGTCTCACTCTTGCCCAGGCTACAGTGCAGCGGCGTGATCTCAGCTCACTGCAACCTCCGCCTCCTGGGTTCAAGTGATTCTCCTGCCTCAGCCTCCCGAGTAGCTGGGATTACAGGTATGAGCCACCACACCAGGCTAGCTGTCGTATGTTTAGTAGAGATGGAGTTTCCTCATGTTGGCCAGGCTGGTCGCGAATCCTTGACTTCAGGCGATCCGCCCGCCTCCGCTTCCCAAAAGGCTAGGATTACAGGCGTGAGTGAGCCACCGCGCCTGGCTGCACATTTAAAAACAACTAAAAGAGGCCGGGCGCGGCAGCTCAAGCCTGTAATCCCAGCACTTTGGGAACCTGAGACGGGCGGATCACGAGGTCAGGAGATCGAGACCATCTTGGCTAACACAGTGAAACCCCGTCTCTACCAAAAATACAAAAAACTTAGCCGGGCACGGTGGTGGGCACCTGTAGTCCCAGCTACTCATGAGGCTGAGGCAGGAGAATGGCGTAAATCCGGGAGGCTGCACTCCAGCCTGGGCGACAGAGCGAGACTCCATCTCAAAAAAAAAAAAAAAAAAAAAAAAAAAAAAAAAAAAAAAAAAAAAAAAAAAAAAAAAAAAAAACTAAAAGAGTATAATCAGATTGATTGTAACACAAAGGATAAATGCTTGAAAGAATGGCGACCCCATTTTACATGATGTGATTATTACGAACTGCACGCCTGTATCAAAATCTCTCATGTACGCCATAAATTTATACACCTACTAAGTACACACAAAAATGAAAAAATTTTTAAAAATCTTAAACGTGATGCTGGTGGAAACTGTCACGCCCACAGAGGAGGTCTGTGAAAGCCCCCGGGCACCGCCTCTCGCCCCGTGGAACCGCAGCGGGAACCGGCGCATCGCAAAGCTAGCTCACTGGCCCCGGGGCGGGTCCCTGGCCGACAACACCAGAACTCACAGCAGTGACGCTTCCCGACGCCCCCTGGCCACATCCCCACAGGAACCCTACCGTGCACAGAGCATTACTGTCCCCACGCCACAGCCACATAAAGAAAATGTGGGGCTCGGTCCTCCAGTCACGCGGCGAGCAAGTGCAGCGCGGGACGCCCGAGCTCTGGGTCTAGGCGGGCAGCAGGTGCCGGCAAATAGTGCGGCCGGGCCGCTGCGGAACCCACCTGTGCTGGGCCTCAGGCCTTGCGCCGCCCTCGGGCTGCCGCCGCCAACCCCGCGAGCAACTAGCCGCCACGCTCCCTTACCGGGCCACCGCCCCCGGCACCCGCCCCGGAAGTAGTTGCGGGAGGGCGCGGAGCACGCCGGGAAGCTCGCGGGTCCACACCGGGACAGCTCCCGGGCGCCGTGGAATGCACAAGTCCCGCAGCCGGACCTTCCGGTCAGCTTCCCGGCTCGTTGTATGATACCCGCGACAGCCAATGAGCAAGTGGTGTTTGTCCTACCCGGTCCCCGCCCTGGCCAGGGGAACCAATCCCATTGCAGGAGAGGCAGAACGCGCAAAGGCCCGAAAGAGGAGCGGAGGGAACGCGGCGGCAGTTTAGTAATGTAAAGCTCCGCTAAGAGGGAGAGTGCCGAAGAAGGGGACAGCCTCTGTACCTGTGGCGCGGCCCGAGGGACGGACGCGACTGGAGTGGCGCGCTGGAGGCTGTTTACAGCCCTGTTAGGACCGCGCAAGGAGTGAAGGCGGAAGCCTCAGGTGAGGGGCCTCGGACCTGCTGCGCCTGCAGGGAGTTGAACAAAACGCGGGGAAACACCGGCTGGGGGTGTGTGAGAGGAGGAGCGATGGGCTTTCCACTTCCACAGCTTTAAAATTTAAAGGCTCGACCCGGGAGGCTGTTGGCGTCTGGTTTCCATGACAACCGGCAGCCTCGTGGCAGGCGGGCTGGGGGCGGGGTTCTGGGGACCTGGGCGGGGCTGTGGCGGGCCTAACGGGCTGCAGCTGAGAAACTGACCCCCGAGACGGAGCCGGAAGGCCGTTTTTCAGTGGCGGCTCCGAGCCTCCCCTTCGCCTTCTGGATGCGCCGAGCTCCTCAACGTGGCGTTCAGGGCCCTGCATTGTCTGGTCCGTTTTCACCGCAGATTCCAGCAACTGACACTTTCTTCCCTTAAACTGGGCGGTTCATTCCTTTGAGCTACTGTACATGCTCTTCCTTCTGCCGCTAATGCCGTTTCCTCCCCTATTGTCTTGTTCGCCTGAAGAGTTTATCAGAGTCTCTGGAGGCCCTCTTCACCTCGACGATTCTGTTGCCCTAAGAAATATTGTGCCCTGAATTGCGGAACAGAGCTCTAGTTACAAAAAACACCCGCTGAGTGTGTGCACCAGATGCGTCCCCAACCTGCTGCTCCCAGTTGAGAGTGCACCAAGCACCTGCCCTGGTCCCAAAAGCACAGAGGAAGCAAGCAGCCCCTAATTCACATCTCCTGCCGCTGCCCTGATTGGGGATGAAGGGGCACTGACTGCAGGGCCAAAGCCACAGCGGCCTCTCCGGCTGCAGGGTTCTCCTGACACTGGCTCTAGAGGACCCTCACCCCCCAGCTCTCAAGCTCAAGCTCCCCAGTCCCCTGAAGAACAGCACCATCTCCTTTAAAACTCTAAGATACAAATGCAGGGGCTGGTCAGAGTGGTGACTCCAAAAAAAAAAAAAATCACTGGGTGACTGCAAACTGTCAGCCAGGCATGGTGACACATGTCTGTAATCGCAGCACTTTGGGAGGCTGAGGCAAGAGGATCACTTGAGGCCAGGAGTTTGAGACCAGACTGGGCAACAGGGAGACTCCATCTCTGCAAAAACTAAAAATATTAGCCAGACGTGGTAGTATATACCTGTAGTCCCAGTTATTCAGGAGGCTGAGGTGGGAGGACCACTTGAGCTCAGGAGGCCGAGGCCTCAGTGAGCTATCATTGTACCACTGTACGCCAGCCTGGGCAACAAAGCCAGACCCTGTCTCCAAAACAAAAAAGCAAGATGTTGGCCGGGCACGGTGCCTCACGCCTGTAATCCCAGCACTTTGGGAGGCTGAGGTGGGTGGATCACGAGGTCAGGAGATCGAGACCATCCTGGCTAACATGGTGAAACCCCGTCTCTACTAAAAATACAAAAAATTAGTCGGGCATGGTAGCAGGCGACTGTAGTCCCAGCTACTCGGGAGGCTGAGGCAGGAGAATGGCGTGAACCTGGGAGGCGGAGCTTGCAGTGAGCCAAGATTGCACCACTGTACTCCAGCCTGGGTGACAGACTGAGACTCTGCCTCAAAAAAAAAAAAAAAAAAAAAAAAAAAAAGGTGTCTCTCTTCTGTTCCTTGGTAAAGGGCAGTAAAGGGTAGTAGGACTTGAAATTCCCCCGATTCAGAGTCCATTATTGCTATTTACTAAACACCCTGAGGCTATGAAATGAAGCGAATAGTGATGCTATATGGTGTATATATAAAATATACCTATATATCATTACATATCATACATATGACATTCTATATAACATATACACATATCTACATATGCATATTTATATCAATACATATATTTGTATATTATGTATATATCACTATATATGTGATATACCTGCAGGCTCCACATGTGTCCATGAGCGGACACACACACACACACAGAGTGCCTGGCACTCAGTAACAGGAGCTTGCATAACCTGAAGGAAACAGGCAGGTGGTAAGGCCTGCCAGCCTGTGTGGTCTCCTACAGCCGGTAGGGCAGCCCCTGCTCTCCTGACCTTTGATGGCCTGGACCCTCTTCCGTCACCCCTTGTGCCCCACAGAGCTGCTCGGATGATGGTGCACTGAGAAGGCATCCGGAAGCCTGGGCCCTCATGGCATCCAACGACGAAGGTATGGCACCCTCGCTGGGCTCTCCCTGGGCCTCCCAGACAGGGCCCTGGGACGCCATCCTCAAGGCTGTCAAAGACCAGCTCCCGTCTCTGGACTCAGACTCCTCCTTGGTAAGCAGGAACTCTCTCCCTGGACGCCTTGTCCTTCCTACCAGAGCAGGCATGACGCTGACCAGGACAGCTTTGGAACACTTCTCTGAAGACTTCTCCCGCTGACCTGTGCAGTTTGTTGTCATTTTACTTTAAATCACATGGCCAGGCTCAAAGCTGTGTTTTCTGAGTGCCTATTTCCTTCTTTACTCTTTCTTCTGCCTTGAGTGTCATCTCTGAGCATGGGTATTGGTGCTCAGCATCTTGGGAGACCCTTTCAGTTGGGTTTTCGGTGCTGACTTGGAACCCAGGTCAACTCGATGCAGAAGCTCTGTCCTTTCCATTCTGCTATTCTCCACTCTCTCAGGCCAGGACAGGACCACAACACCCACTGAGAATGCACAATTCCAGTGCATTGTGATGAGCCTTCGAGGGATTCTGCATTTGTGGTTTGGGGTCCCTGAAATGGCCCTCAAAGACACTCAGACCAATAGCCATAGGTGCAGGTGTAAGACGCTACTGAAGATGCTCCTGGCAGGGGCTCCTCAGTGCACAGGTTGGCACTGGGTGTTGAGAGACAGTGTGAGGGTTTTAAAAGGAACGGGCTGGGTTTAGGTCCTACCTGGGCACCAGCAACAGAGCTTCAGGGACCTCACACGTCATCCAGTGCATGGCAAGGCTAAGGAGTACCTATGGGGACCCCGCACTTCAGTGCTCAGTGCGTTTTCACACCAGTCTCGTTTGAGAGTATGAGCCCCAGCCCCTTTAAGAAGACACACTTGGCCGGGCGCGGTGGCTCAAGCCTGTAATCCCAGCACTTTGGGAGGCCGAGACGGGCGGATCACGAGGTCAGGAGATCGAGACCATCCTGGCTAACACGGTGAAACCCCGTTTCTACTAAAAAATACAAAAAACTAGCCGGGCGAGGTGGCGGGCGCCTGTAGTCCCAGCTACTCAGGAGGCTGAGGCAGGAGAATGGCGTAAACCCGGGAGGCGGAGCTTGCAGTGAGCTGAGATCCAGCCACTGCACTCCAGCCCAGGCAACAGAGCAAGACTCTGTCTCAAAAAAAAAAAAAAAAAAAAAAAAAAGACACACTAAGCTGTGTAAGTGATAGCTCAGGGTCACAGGGGACGGGGAGGGCTGGACCCTGCTTTCAACTACCACCTGGCTGCCCTGTTCATGTCACACGAGGCATTAATGAAGCACCTGCTGTCTGCAAGGTACTTGCAGAACCAGGAGCCTGAATCTTACCTCCACGAGGTGGTACTGCCGAGCTGATTTCTAAACAGTGGCAAGAAGCCGCGCACAGCAAGGCTAACTGGGAGAGAACCAGATCTCCCCCAGGCTCCTGAGCAGCAGGGCTAGGTGGGCTGGGCGTGCTGGGCTGGAAGTGGAGAGAGGGTGGAGAGCGGGACGGCTGGGCCCTCAGGGCTCTGCCTGCTGCTGTGTCTTCCAAAAGCCCTCTCATTTGTCCACAGTCGGACTATGGGGAAGAGGAGCTGTTCATCTTCCAGCGAAACCAAACCGCCCTGATTCCAGACCTGTCAGAGGAGCTGGCTGAAGATCCTGCCGATGGCGACAAGTCCAGGACCTGGGCCGCTGCAGCTGAAGAATCCCTTCCCGAGGTCTGTGGGACACAGAAGAGTGTGCGCCTGTGTGTGTGCAATGTAAGTCTAAACTGACTGATCTAAACCACTGGTCTAGCATTTCCATGACACCCAGTCCTTTTTTTTGTCCCGTGTACAACCCAAGGTATTCAGATGCCCAACATCTAACCTCCACACACCTCCCTCTCCCGGGGAGCCCAGCACCTTAGGGCTGGTGTGCGGACTTGATTTGCCATCTGATTTTGACCCTCCTCTTCCTCTTGATCGCTCCTATCCTGTTTTCTACCATGGCATCCTGAATAGCTTCTGGCCATTGTCATGACTGATTGTCCTAAATGTCTCTCCCTTAATCCAGCTGGCTTCATGGCTACCTGGCTCATCCCAGCACCTGGCAAGTACACAGGAACTCTGGTTTACTAACCTGCTAAACTCAACTGCTACAGGCTACCGTGGGGAGTGGGAGGGAGGAAGATGGCCCATCAGTGCCTGAGCAAGGACAAAAGCTGGACCTTGCGGGAGGGACACCCCAGGAGACAGTGAGCAAGTGTGGACTAAGCATGCCAACACAGGCCTGCGGTGCCAGTGCTGCACACTGAGACAGACGTTCCCATGAGGCCAGAGTTTGAGACCCCTGGGCAATACAGCAAGACTCCATTTCTGGCTGAACACAGTGGCTCATGCCTGTAATCCCAGCATTTTTGGGAGGCCAATGTGGGTGGAT